TAACCTCCAGGCGTCAGCGTCGTTTAGCAGGCAGCCTGTCCATGTTTCTTTCTTCTCTTTCTTCTTACGTTGTGGTTGAAAGCTCTGGAAGGAGGGTCCTTCCTTTTTGTTTCTCTTCTGTCCTTTCTTTGAGCACGACGAGCCGTTGTGGCCTACCTTTTGCTCTTTTTTGGGAACCCATGGCGCGGAATCCCTTCTTCTCTTCTTGTCGTGTTTTCTCCGATTTCGGTTTGGTCATCCTGTTGATATCCTCTGGGTATCCTCTCGCCCACCCACCGGGCGGCGTTTGGAAGGCATCCTGTCCATGTTTCTTCTTTGCTTTCCCTTCCTTTGCGTCTGGACTTCGCCTTCATTTCCTATATCTTTCTTGTCAGGCCTTACTTTCATCCTTTTCCTGGAAGTTGGGGTCTCCCTTTTGTCATTGAAATGTGACCGCTTTTTTGCTTCTTTTTGATTGTGTCCAATTGAATGTTTTGCGTTCGTCCTCTCGGCTTTTACTTCAGCTTAGTTGCAGTCTCGAGCTCGACTCCTTCGGCTTTTATTGCCCGTTGGGGCTCGTATGTCGTCATCCTATTCTGTTTTTCCGCTTCGTCCTCATCTTACGATCTTACGTCCTCTAAACTTTTCCCAGTTAGAATGTGGAACGTCCTTCCCCTTTTTTTTCCTTTTCGTTTCTTCTATATATTGCGACCAAGAATTTCGTCTTGAATTCGGTTCTTTTGGTCTTTTACTGCATGTCTCCTTTCTGTTTCCGCTTCGTCCTCATCTTGGGTCTTGGCGTCCTTTACCCTTCAATTTCTCCCATTCAAAACTTCCTTTTACATTCAATCGCTACCTTCCTCTTTCTCCCTTACTCCCGTCAGCATCGAGACTAACCCATCGCACAGGAACCAAGACATGAAGGACCACTTTGAGATCCTCATCCGCTCCATCCTCATCAGGCCTGACAAACCCGCCGTCCTCTTGCTCGGCCATTTCTCACCACAAACACACCAAACACACGGTTTTGCAGGCCCAGACCACTGGCACAACATGGTCGCGCAATTCTACGACGTCCCACACGTCTCTGTCAAATCTGCCCTCTTCCCCGACTACATGCGCGACCCCAAGTCTATCCAGAAATACTTTGTTGATCCCGTCCTCGCTAGCCCTTCCGGGCATGAACTTATCTCGGAGATACTCGTGGCGTACTTCCAGAGGCAGATATGTACGGCGTGGAGCGTGGCTACTGGGTCGTCTTACGAAGCCGTCTCAGTGCACACTGCAGGGTCTGAAGGAGGTGCAGGCGACGCCCATGGGCTATTTGGCGGCATTGGTCAACGCCCTGGAGTCCCCGAGCCAGAAAAGGGTGATGTAGCAGTCGACGCAGCAGTGGAAAAGAAGATGGCAGCTATGAAAGACCGGGGGGATTCGTCGTTGTCCTCGTCCTCTTCCCCTCAGCTCCTCACCGTCCCCTCTGGCCGAATCAACACCCGACCAAACGGGAACCGTCCCTTCGAAGAGATCGCACCGTTCTGCGTTTCCGCAAACGACCTCATCAACCCCCTACCACCGTCGTTGTTCTACGGCTCGGGGTGGTATGCTCACCATCCGAGCGGGAGCGGGGGCGATGCCCTGATTACGGCTGCGCATTATTGGCATTCTGCGCTTCCGACGAGTAAGCTTAGGATTCCGGTACAGGTTGGAGGGGGAGATATTGGGGTGTACTATTTGAGGGAGCCGGTGGGTGTTGTTGGGGAGGGGAGTTCGGTTGAGTGTTGGGTTGATGATAATTATGCGGGTGCGAAGGTTATTGAGAATGCGGCGGATATTGGGGATGCTATACCTACGTATGTCCTTTTTCCTTTCTTTTTTTCTTCCTCTTTTTATTTTTTGTACCCCGCTGATGGCTGGTTGGTGTAGGCTGAAGATGATCGACCATTATGTTGGACGAGGTTCTCATTTCGTGGAATGTCAGTTGTTGGGTGAAGAAGGACAGAGTGTGCCGATGTTCAAGATTATCGGGATTTTTGCGACGTGAACCCTTTGTTACTTACTGATAGGGAAGGACTGAGTAGTGTACGGACGTTCCCTGGCTTTTAGGATGTAGAATATGATTTTGTGTAGTGTGTGTATTCGAAATGCACACAGGAATTGGAGAGATGACTAATTTCAAATTTCGACTTGTACGACGACGACCACAACTACAATCCAGTTAAAACGCCCCATTGCTACGCCTTCAAGATTATGGAGTTATGCGAACTGGAGAACTTCCAGACAATTTTCTATCTCGAATATCGGTGCGCACCACAACTCAGTCAAAACACCCCCAGTATTAATCCAGGCACCCTTTGCTTCAGATACCACGCAAGTTGCACGAAATGACAGACGCCCTGACACTGCCCCGCCGTCATCTCTCGCGCTCATAGTCATGGCCGACCAAATCTCGCCCACTGCAAAGAAATCGAGGAAGAAATCCAGAGGCATAGGAAAACTCTTTCGAGATCTGATCAAGCGACCCAATTCTGCCAACGACTCGGCTTACCAGTCGAATTCCACTGTCTCTTCCGCATCAAGCGCTCACCATGCAACCGATGCAGGAAATGCAGAGCCGACGGCTTCAAGTAAGTATACTATTGGCTCCATCTTAGCGTTATCGACGGTGACTTAACTGGTGTCCAGGCGGCAATGCTATCTTGAATAACAGTATGTACTGTCCTGGACCCCTACCTCGCAGACCTAGCCGATTCAGCTCATCCTCCAGATCCTACCGTCCCCTCCCAGTCAGCAAGACCTTCGTCAAGTGTTCCAGATCTGCAGGAGTCCGCTGTGGGTCAAGGTGAGATGAGATTTGCCGAGGCTTTGTGTCTAAGAGGTTGATATCGGACTCGTGTAGAAGGGGACAACCGCGAAGCCAGTCTTACGTTGACTCCTGTTGCAGGACCAGTCTCGCCGAACACTCAACCTCAGACCTCGAATTGGAAGGCGTCTGCAAAAGAGGGTGTTAAAGTGGCTGGGCGGTTCACGGAAACGCTCCTCAAGAAGGTCCCGGGATGTGTCAGTGCAAATCCGGTCCAGATGGCATTCTCCATCGCTAAAGTGATCATCGAAATAAAAGATGTAGGTTGTCGTCTGTTTTTTATCTTTTGGGCGCTGGTTGACTGTTATATCAGGGGGTTGGAAGCAACAAAGACGGGCTTGTACAACTTCTCGAAAGAACGGCAAACAGACTCCTGACTGTGGAGAGCAAGGAAGTTAGCGGTAAGGCCGCCGAGGAGGCGATGGAGAATTTCAAAAAGTACGTCGTCTTTCGTGCACCAATATGATACCATAACGAACATGTCACCATCCAGGATCATTGGGGAAGAAATGCAGAAGTTAAAGGTTCTGGCCGATGAATCACTTCTTATAAAGGTAGTAGACTACGAAGCGTATGGGACGAAGATCCAACAAATTTTTCAACGAGTCGAAGAGGCGACGACGTCTTGGTTTGTGCGTACCATTCATTCTATAAGGTTCTGTATATTCACATTCGTCGTTCCCAGCTCGAAATGACGATCAGCATCCAGCAAACGGCGAGTCAAATACAAGATGGTACCAAGGTAAGTATTTAAGCTCCCTGGTCTGCAATCTGCGCTGATTAGTTGTACAGAGAGAGTCCCTGCAGCGTTTGAATCCCTCCGAGAAGGCTGATCACAGAACCGTCTTTGAAGGACATGGCCTGAAGCGTGAAGCGTGCACGGACGGAACACGTGTCAAGATATTGGAGGACATTACGAAATGGGCGCACGATTGCTCATCGGCCAGCCCGCGTGTCTTCTGGCTGACCGGTCAAGCTGGATCTGGCAAAACCACCATTGCATATACCATAGCCAAAGTGTTCGAGCAAGATGCCAATCCCAACCAACATACCGTCTTGGGCGGCAACTTTTTCTGCTCCCGACAATTCGAAGAAACGCGAGCCCAGACCCGTATCCTCCCCACCATCGCCTACCAGCTTGCTCGGAAATGCAAATCGTATGCAGACGCCTTGCATGTTGCCGACAAATTCGACTCTGTTAAATTCGATGTTGCCACCCAGCTGTCGGATCTTCTTGTCGGGCCTTGGCAGCAGTCCGAAAGCACACGGGGTATAGGACCGCGGCTGTACCTCATCGTCATCGATGCTCTTGATGAGATTGAAGGCGAAGGAGGATCGGCTTTTCTAGGCGACCTACTCCACACGATCGACAAATACGACCTAAGAGGTCTCAAGTTTCTTGTGACAAGCCGGTCAGATCCTGAACTCGTTGAGCGCTGCAAGGCATTCACGTCCGAGGCCGTCTGTCGTCTCCAAGATGTGCCGATTGAGGAGGCCAGGTCAGACATCAGGATATACTTGAAAAACAAGCTGAAGAAGCTTGATGGCACTCCCGAGCTGACCGAGCTTGAGCGGCGGGCTGATGGTCTCTTCATCTACGCTGCAACTGTGGTAAAGTACTTGATTCCACGTCGCTCAATCACTGTTGGTGAGCAGACAAAGATGCTCAAGAACCTCCTTTCCAATTCAGATAAACCAGTTTCCGTGGGCAAGGCTACATTCTTGATTGATGAATTGTACCGTCGAATTATATGCGACACCTTTTCGCCGTTTGAGGGAGAGATCTTGATTTGCAGGTTGCGCATCCTTTATACCTTCCTATGTACGGTTGAACGCACATCCACCTCCACCGTTGCTGCGCTCGTCGCGGACAGCGACAATGAACTTGCCAAGGCTGTTCTGGACGATCTCCACGCTGTGCTTTATTCCCAAGACGGTCGAGTTTTTTGGTACCATGCCTCCTTTCCTGACTTCGTTTTTGATCCAGCACGGTCAAACTTCACCTTGGACAAGGAGTACTTTGCATTTTCATGCAACGAACCTGCCCATCACAATCTTCTTGCCGAATCTTGCTTCCACATCATGAAGTTTGGTTCTGATAAGAAGTCTGATTCTGGTTTGCGATTCAACATGGGCAAAATACCGTCATCCTTCCTGTTCGACAGTGATAACGCCGCACTTGCTGAAGAGGTCAACAAAAACATTAGTGCTGCTCTGAGATACTCAGTCCGGCACTGGACTCACCACTTGCCCCAGTTGATCAAGACCGATAACCTTCGTGGCCTCATTTTGGATTTTCTCCAAATTCGTGTCCTGTTCTGGATTGAGGCCATGAACCTGCTTGGACTACGCAATCAATGCACTCCGATGCTTCAACGTGCACGTGAGTGGGCCTTGAAGGTATGAATTGTAAAGTTTGAGCCGTACTGCAACAACTAATGCTGTCAACTAGTGCGGGAACGATTTTTTAGAATTGGCGCGTGACATTGGTGAAGCTGCCAACTTCGCTACTTATTTCACTGGGAGCCCGGCTGCCAAATCGACGCCGCACCTGTACATCTCAGCGTTGGCAACATGGTCACGGAACACCAGTCTCTCTCGGAACTGGAAAAACCAATTCACTTGCATCCCTGCCTTTACACATACCAAAGGCGTTATTGACTTGCCATTGATGACCATATCAGCTGGAGCACCAATTACATCAGTCGCAATTTCAAGTGATGGGACACGGATTGTGTCTGGCTCGTATGACAAGTCTGTGCAGGTGTGGGATGCGTCGACAGGTGTGGAGCTGAAGAAGTTGAATGGCCATACTTCCCCGGTCACATCGGTCGCATTTTCAAGTGACGGGACACAGATTGTGTCTGGCTCGTGGGACATGTCTGTGCGGGTGTGGGATGCATCGACAGGTGTGGAGCTGAAGGTGCTGAAGGGCCATACTTTGTCGGTCAATTCTGTCGTGTTTTCAAGTGATGGGACACGAATTGCGTCTGGTTCGCGTGACAACTCTGTGCGGGTGTGGGATGCATCGATAGGTGTGGAGCTGAAGGCGCTGAAGGGCCACACTGAAGATATCAACTCGGTCGCATTTTCAAGCGATGGGACACGGATTGTGTCTGGCTCGAATGACTGCTCTGTGCGGGTGTGGAATGCATTGACAGGTGTGCAGCTCAAGGAGCTAAGGGCCACACTGGCCATATCCAATCGGTCGCATTTTCGAGTGACGGGACACAGATTGTGTCTGGCTCGTGGGACATGTCTGTGCGGGTGTGGGATGCATCGACAGGTGTGGAGCTGAAGGTGCTGAAGGGCCATACTTTGTCGGTCAATTCTGTCGTGTTTTCAAGTGATGGGACACGAATTGCGTCTGGTTCGCGTGACAACTCTGTGCGGGTGTGGGATGCATCGATAGGTGTGGAGCTGAAGGCGCTGAAGGGCCACACTGAAGATATCAACTCGGTCGCATTTTCAAGCGATGGGACACGGATTGTGTCTGGCTCGAATGACTGCTCTGTGCGGGTGTGGAATGCATTGACAGGTGTGCAGCTCAAGGAGCTAAGGGCCACACTAGCCATATCCAATCGGTCACATTTTCGAGCGATGGGGCACGCATTGTGTCTGGCTCGTTGGACAACTCTGTGCGGGTGTGGGATGCATCGTCAGGTGTGGAGCTGAAGGAGTTGAAGGGCCACACTAACTCTGTCACATCGGTTGCACTTTCGAGCGATGGGACACGGATTGTGTCTGGCTCGAATGACAGGTCTGTGCGGGTGTGGGATGCATCGACCGGTGAGGAGCTGAAGGAGCTCAAGGGCCACAATGACTATATCAAATCGGTCGCATTTTCAAGTGATGGGACACGGATTGTGTCCGGCTCGGATGACGAGTCAGTACGGGTATGGAATGTGTCGACAGGTATTTTGAGTGATGGAGATGCGCGCTTTGCTTGGGATCTGGCAGACTCAGACTGGATTATCTCTTCTCGGGAGCAAAACCCCTTTATGTGGGTGCCAAAGGAGGCCAATTTGCACACACCTCTCAAGATTCTTATCATTTCTCGGTCTGGCTTTGCTACAGTTGACTTTGATCAGTCTATGATTGGTGTTGATTGGGTTTGCTGTTATACACCATAGCTACAGTCACTTTGTCGATTATACATATCATTCTTCCGCACAATGCATCTTTTCTCCCTCCCACAACGGGCTCCCTTTCCCCTTCTTCCCCTCCTTCACGCATCTGGGTCCCTGTCTTCTTCATCCTCCTTCTCCTAACGCCAATCCACTTCCTCCTCCCACTCCTCCTCATCGATACCAAATTACTCCAACGCAGATCTTAAAGTCAAGAAATCCCTCAACTCAAGCAAACCCATCATTAATTCACGCGTCATTCCCAACTTCCCCTTTGAATTCTGTCCAAGTTACAGCACCAGGGATGGATCAGCGCAAAGTATGGTGCTATTACGTTTTCCAGAGAGCGGCGCAAGCCTCAGGATTCAGAGGGTGTTGAATAAGGCCCTGGCAGGTCAGAGTGTTACTATCTCTGTTCTTGGCGGTTCGGGTATCTGTCCGTTGTTTCTGTCCGTTGTTTTTTTTTCCCTCTTCCTCTTTCCACACCCGCAAACTCACGTACAACTATGCCGTGTCAGTGCGGGACGGCCCTTATCATTGAGCAGTGCGTGCGTTTTCTTTTGTTTCTCTGCTTGTTCTCGGCTCCTTTTTTTCGTTTCTCTGCCCTTTCTTTCACACCACATGTTTTTTCTTTTCTTTTTGCTTTTATTCGTTGCGACCGTCCGCCCACCCTAATCATCACACATTTCATGCCGTCTTTTCATCACACCCACCCAAAAGACGGACTTTTCCCACACCAAGCAAGGGTAGCTGCCCAAGGGGCCATCCCATCTTGCTCGTTTGCCTCTGTTGCAGCTTCGTTATGGATTTACTTGGAAAAGTCCGTCTTTTGGGTGGGTGTGATGAAAAGACGGCATGAAATGTGTGATGATTAGGGTGG